GGGCTGGGCTGGGCTGGGCTGAGGGATGCGCCCAGGGCGGTGGGGGCACACTGAGGGGGCAGCTCAAGCTGTACTGATTAGAAACCAGTAAGACCCATGTTCCAGGATTTTCTAACAGCGCTGTGAGGTTGGAGTTGTTGGGAATGTGGAAGGAGGAGGGAAAGATTAGGGTGAAAGGGGAGACGGGGTGAAGCAAGAGAAAGGAAAACTGAGGACCCCTGAGGAACAAGTGCATCGAACGTGAACGTCTCCCTACACAGGCGGGCCCGTTAAGTCATCCACCCAGTGGATCTGATTAAAAGAAAAAGGACACTTACATTAGCTGGGTTCATATTTACAATATTTTAAATAATTCAGATGAACGTCTGGATACCTGAGACACATTTACTAGGTGTCAGGGTTCTGCACCCAAAGCCAGTGTGTGTGTGGGGGGGTTCCCCACACCACCGACTCTCGGACACCGGTGGGGTGTCCTACAGTTCAGCTCAGTTCTGATGCGTTCTACCCACAGACGGCATCAGACCCCAAGGGTCGGGGCTCCTAAAGGCTCAGTCCCTAAAGACCACGTCTCCCACCTGCAGACACCGGTCCCAAGTCTAGGTTGTCACCTGTGCATCTGATGACCTCTTATAGATCAAAAGTTCCGAAGACCCCCCCCAGACAACCTCCTTAGATGCAATTAATTTGCAAGAGCGGCTCATAGAACTTAAGAGAAATATTTGACTTAGTAGGTTACCTGTTTATTATAAAAAATGTATATAACTCGGGAACAGCCAGATGGAAAAGACACAGAGAGCAAAGGTCCAGGCGAGGGGGTGGAGCTTCTATGCTCAGAGCGAGTCACGCTCCCAGCCCACGGTCACCAACCCGGAACCTCTCTGAACCCCATGCTGGTAGATTTTCATAGAGGCTTCAATCCACAGACACAACTGATTAATTTATTAGCCACTAAGGACTGAACTCAACCTTCAGCCCCTCTCCCTTCCTGAGAGGCGGGGGTGGGGCTGAAGGTTCCAACCTTCCAATCACTCCTTGGTTCCTCTGCCGAACACCAGCCCTTAGATGCTCTCCAAAAACCACCTCATTCACACAACAAAAGGCACCTGTATCAGTCTCATCACTTAGGAAATTTCCAGGAGTTTCAGGAGCTCCATACCAGGACTGTGCCAAGCCAAGTCAGTCTTACTCTAAATCCCAGTCAAGTCAGTCAAAGGCGACTGCTTGCTACGAGGTGCTGCGCCTCACCCTGCGGACACAGCACAGTTAGCGTGGAGCCCAGAGGAGGAGCCTGGGGCTCAGAGAAGACTCACAAGACTTCGGAGCAAAACGCATCCCTTTCTTGGCCCCACTGTGGAGTTCTAGAGTCCTGCTGGCTGCACCTGAAGCATTTTTGTGTAAGATTTTTCACAAGCCCACTTATGCGGCTAATGCCTTTCATAATCTGTGTTGTTAAGAATTCGCCAGCGGGTAACCAAGACAGTTTAGATAACCATGTTTAATCTCTGTGAATTCTGTCTTCCTGCTTTCCTTTACATCCCGTACACACTTCCATTTTCCAGCGTAGACGTAAGAACATACTTGTAAGTATCTATCTATCTCAAGACTGAAACTTCGTCGCTTTATTGAAATCATTCAAGCACAGAAATGGATGGATGAGCCACATGCAGAAGGCAGAGAAGTGATGCTTCAGTCCTGGGAGGGTGTCCCTGACTGAGTGTGTCCGCCACTTCCCGCCAGAGACAGAAATGGAACACAAGCCATTTCTTCACGTTCTGAGAAGGTATGAGGTCTGATTTATACCCTCTAATAGTCCTAAAAGTTAAGAGAATTGAGCGACTAGGCTGTTTTTCTGAATGTCAGCATTTTGCTAACCTTACAGATTAAGAGATTCAGACCATTTTCTCTCTGCCCCATTTTTATTTAGTTCCAGTTGCATGAGGCAACTCTGTAAAACATTCGGCACCTGTCAACCCTGGAAATACTCCTCCTGCCTCCAAAAAGGCAAGTCATGTTTCCACTAACGACAGTATTGTGTCTTTCTTCCTTCAAGGGACCCTGTTCTAAAACCGGGTCAACATGCAGCCTTTGCTTGCATAGAAATATTTATCAGTAAAACACCTAGTAGCCTGCAGACCTGGAAAGTATAATTCAAGAAGTAATTCATATGCTGACATTTACTGCTGTCCTCCCTGAGAAACAGAACTCCCCTTGCTCACACTGTGAAGCTGTAATTACTCCTTATTTCCAGTTGGTCCGAGATATGATATATATTGTTCTTGTAAAAGTCATATAAGAGTGTTTCTGAGATTATGTATCAACATGGGGTCTTAGAAATCAAATGCATCACATGGGGTCAGAAATCAAATGCTGACACTCCGCTGTATGCTGCCTGATCCTTTGTAAAGCCAGTCCCTTCCAGAAGCTTCCTGACACCCAAATCGTATGTGTTATGCTGGAACTTTGCACTGTTACTTCCTTGTTTTATATATTTTTTTTCTGAATGCACATGACTTGCCAGCATAAAGCAGTTAGTAGGTTCACTGTCATGTCAGGTAAAATGTTACTACTTTTAAAAGAGGGTTAGAAAGTGACCAACACTCAGCGTCAGCCTCCCCGATGAAGAGGAGCTGGGGAGGTTGCAGGTGAGAGAGGGAACACCTCACGGCCTGGGTGCACAAGGACTTCTGGAGCGATGCTTACGGCTGCATGGCCACACAGACATACAGTCCCTCTTCTCTGACCTAGGCGAGACCTTGCTTCTGTGCATTACTTTTCAAGGTCAGGAAGGGCTGGGTCTGGACCCACACGGTGGAGTCC